TTTGATTTTTTTTGGATTTTTGAATTTTAAAGATAGAAGGGTTTACATCGTAAAGTAAGACAATAAATTAAAACATCCGGATCACACCATGAGATAATCCGAACATAGAAAGGATAGCAAGACTGACTACCGATAATCCCTTCTGATGGGGAACTTTCAGGCTTGACGGTCATTTTTCGGCTTTTGTTCTATCTCGGCAATGGCTGCAATGGCCTTCAGTGCCAGATCAAATTCGTCATCTTCATAAATCATTCCGACTATTGTCCCGATGTTGTGGGCAGGCAACAGATTTTTCATCACATCAAGAGCTTCTTTATCCTGAAAAACAATTCTTTCAGCTTCAATCAAGTCTTCAGCTGCACTTTTAAGTGTCCAACAGTCCTCCGTACTGTGTCCTACTCCAAAGTGGTATTCACATCTAGCATCAGCTCGGTGCAGAGGGGACTCGGAGTTTGGTCGGTTCGGGGCCACTGGCTGCAATAGATCTAGCCTGATTAGCTTTTGGAACAAGCTTGAATACGATACACCAATAGGGTTGAACTGATTTTTTCTGAAAGGCTCTCTTGGGCAGGGATTGTACTAGGGAATATTTGGTTGGGATTTATATGGAGCTTGGTAAGGATGGGCATTTATGGGAGGTAGAACTCGATTTTGTGTATGATGTTGCGACCGCGTGTAAGGTTGCACATTCATCACCGCATAAGGAGGTGGTGCCACGGTATAAGCAGCATCTTGAAGGGGATAATAATGTTGAGGGACCTTAGGAAGCATATATGATTGGTTGAATGACCTGTGGGCCCCCCTCGAGCTGGAAGCCATCATGGCTCCTTCTCTCTCATTTCCATAACCCTTTGAACCAATTTGAACATCTGGTGATGTGGCTTTAAAAGCAGCATGACTCAAGATTCAACCCATTTTAGCTCACTTTCTACCATCTCCCCAATTTTGATAGCCTTAACAAATGGCTTTTCCATAGCGGACATCATGTTCTGGAAGTAGTATGCCTCTTGGGCCTATAGAAAGATAGTGACCATTTCAATTTCGTCCATTGGAGGCTTTAACCTGACAGCTTGCTCACACCATTTGGCAGCATATTCGCGGAAGCTTTCCGCTATTTTCCTTTTCAAATTGGAAAAAGAGTTTCTATCAGGAGCGATGTCCACATTATACTGGAACTCGCGGACAAAATCTTTGGCCATATCGTCCCACACATGACAATGGGTAATTTCTTGATCCGTATACCACTCATAAGCGACTCCGATGAGGCTTTCCCCAAAATAGGCCATTAGCATCTCCTCTTTTCCACTAGTGCCTCTCAACTGGTTACAGTATCATTTCAGGTGAGCGACCGGGACTTTGTGCCCATCGTACTTTTCAAATTTTAGCATCTTGAGGCCAACTGGCAAGTGGACATGGGGAAACATACAGAGGTCAGAGTATGAGACACTCTTTTGGCCACTCAGACCTTGCATGTTTTTCAGGCTTTGTTCCAGGCTATTCATCTTTCGAGCCATTTCCTCTTGCTCAGGATTTTTAACAACCTTTTCTTGCTCTATCGAGAGATCATATTGCGGAGGTTGAGTGAAAGAGTATGGGGTCACATATGCTATTTTTGATTGAAGTTGTAGACTCTGAAAGGTGAACATTGGAGGCTCAACATATCGTCGTGGTAAAATTGGTTGTGCTCTGGTGCAGACTGGTGCTGTAGAGAACAATATTGGAGGTGCCCAGGAAACTGGCGCCTGGGGGCGAACCACAGAAGGCATGCCAGGATCATTGAACAACATTAGAGGGTGCTCGTATAGGATAAGCGAGTTGGGCACAGGGGCATTGGTAACCTCACCTGACCTGGGGATCAACTCAGGGAACCCACGGATTGCACTTGGCGGTTCTCTACCATTAGACCAGGTGTCCCACATTTCCAATATGCGGAGATGCAACATCCTATTGTCTTCAGCAGTTGCTGATTCTAGTTGTGGAATAGCCGATGCTGGGCTATCCTCAGGATCGCTGATTCGTAGATGGCTTTCATAAGCCATAGTAACCTTTTCTTTGTAGCTCGTGAAGTATGGATGGGCTAGACTACCAACAAAACCAATCACCTGAACAGAACCTGGCTAATTTGCACACGCAACAACCTTGTTAGTTTTGAGACGCTTAACAAATAGGAAATCGCGTATTGGGATGCAATTCACCTAAACAGCTAAACGTTTAAGCTATGTGTTTGAACGAGTTGCATGTTTCATCCCGGCCTTAATTAACCTTTTATTTCAATCTACACATCTTCTCTTCATTTTTGCTTCTCTCTAATCAATCTTGATTTTTTCATCTCGTTTTACCGCTCTTTTATTTTTGGGACACTCTTTTCTTTCTTTCTTTTTCACTCTTTTATTTAATTTTATGGCTATGATCGAATCCGATGGGATTGCTTACGTATCATGACGCCGCATGAATCAGATCTTGCGTAGTTCGGAAAGATTGAGAATGGAGTAAATAAGCTAACTTTTTTTGTTTACTTTTATAAAACTCAAATCGAGAAAGCTTTAAGAAAAAGAAAAACATATATTTTTTAATTTTTCTGTTTTGTTGTTTTTGTGTTTATTGGAATTTTCGAAAGAAATGCTTTAAAAGAAGAAAGGAAATAATTTTGTTTTTGGATTTTTGATTTTGATTTTATTTTTATTTTTTAAAAGAAGGACTTCTAAAAATTCTTTTTCTTTTGATTTAAACTTTGAGAATTTCAAAAGTAAAAGGAAAATATTTTTGTTTGAATTTTCATTTGTTTTATCTTTTTTTAAAGAAAAAAGAAAAATATTTTTTTTTTTGATTTTGGATGTTGCCTCTTAATTTTCGAAAGAGAGACTTTTGAAAAAAATATTTTGGATTTCTGAGTTTTTTGTTTTTAAATTTACGAAAGTATTTCTAAAGAATAACGAAAATATTTTTGGACTTCAATTTCTTTTTAAAATTTTTTTTTGAAAGAAAGACTTTTAAACAAGGAATTTTTTTTTATCCTTTGTTTTTTTAAATTTTTGGGAAAAAACTTCTTAAAAAGTAGAAAAATATTTTTTTTTTGAATTTTGATTTGACTTGTGGATTTTCGAGAGAAGATCTTTTAAGAAAACATTTCTGATTTCTGAGTTTCTCTTTTTTTTTCTTTTTTAATTTACAAAAGTACTTTTAAAGAAAAGCGAAAATATTTTTGGACTTTTATTTCTTAATTTTTTATGGACATTTATAAAAGAAAGACGTCTAAAGAAGAAAAGAATATTTTTGGATTTTTGTTTTTGAATTTTTTTTGGGGGAAAATACTTCAAAATGAAGGAAGCCCGTATTTTGAATTTTGATTTTTTTTATTTCTTTTTTCCGTGTGAAAGACTTCAGAAAGAAAGAAAACTACTTTTTTTTGAATTTTTAAAAAACTTCCTCTTTTTTCTTTCTTTTTTTGAATTTTCTAAGGAAAGATTTCTAAAGAAAGAACTAAAGGAAAATATTTTTGGATTTTTGAAAATTGGGGTCGGAACCGATGAGGTTTGCCTACGTATCTCACATCCGGTGAGAATCAGACTCGCGTAGTTCTGTCAATTTTGACGGAACAAGGGAAACATGGCACTTGAAAATCTTGGCTTATTTTGAAATGACTTTCTTTTTCTTCCTTTTTTTTCGGAATTTCGGCAGAGTTTCAGGATTTTCCAAATACCTACCTCTCACTCTCTTTCTTTTTTCTTTTTTTTTTTTTCTGATTTTCTTTCCCTATTCTCGAAGCCGGTCAATATGAAAGCCGAAACAAAATAGATGCGCAAGTAGCACGTAAGATAATTCAGAATGGTCTTTTTAATTTGGGTACACCTATCCTAGACGAACCCAACCCCTATGTTGAATCCCTAAAGTCAGATGCACATGATGCAAACAAACGTACCTACTAGGGATCCGGCATGAGGTTATGTTATTNCTTCACCCGCTTTGCAACTTGTCCGAACTTCGTTCTAAAATTAGGATATGACTCTAACAGAAAAAAAGTCACACGAAGTGCACACTTCCCAGATGATTTAAAAGACTTAGGGAGAAGAAGGGGTTTGTAACAGTTTATATACAGTTCACACAATATCAAAGCGCTAAAAAGTGGCATTTAGCACATTAGGCTTGAACACGTAAAAATCAGATAATAAATAAAACCAACTATAACAGTTATTCTATGCTCGAATTCTTGAACAGCAGAGTCGCCAGAGCTGTCACACCTCCTTTTTACCACCCGAGGGGGTATAAAAGGAGTTTTTTCAATTTAAGTGACATAAATCGAAATGGAATTATTTATTTAATTTCAGAGTTGCCATTTGGGATGTTTATTAGGATTTCCCAAGTCACCAGTTTATTTTAAATCCCAAATCGAGGAAAATTGACTTCATTTAAAAGTCTGTGAAACCAGAAAAACTAGGTAAAGAATTCTGTTAACCCAAGAGAAGGTGTTAGGCATTCTCGGGTTTCATGGTTCTAGCACGGTCGCTTAACTATTAATAATTGGCCAAATTATCTGATTTGTTACACGTTTTAAAACTATTGTGCATTTTTAACTTTATAACCGCTTTTAATTTTTTTAATCTCTTTTTAGGACTTATGGAATTATTTCTTGAACAAGTTACGATTGTCGTACACTTGCCGTTTTGGAACATGTTGCAAATCACGCTACATGAAATGCACCCACGATTTGCGATATGTTTCTTTTATTATTGTTCGAAGTTGTTATGATCCGGTCACATGAAATGCACATCTGGTTTGGGATTAGGCATCACGACCATACCACGGTAATCGTACCCATAGCCATGATGAGTTATTATTAATCACGCCTAAAGCAAGCTACGATGTTCATGAATTGTTCATTTCCTAAATTTGGGATTAATGCAAGGTCTTTGCATATGGGTAGATGTAGTAGTATAAGGCTGAAAACTTAACTTTCTAAATATTCAACATTTGCTCTTGTATACAGATGTGAGGAAACTATGCCATTTGAAGTGGGGAAACCTGTATTCGTGTAACTTTGATTCACAGGGAAGTTACAAGATTGCTTGATGTTTGTGAGGAACAAACCACCTTCTTCTCGTATATTAATGTAAAGAAAAGAACAAACACAAACTATTTTAAAACTACAGACACGCTTATCTGAGTCCAGAATTGCAACCAAATAGACCAGCTAAATGGGCTTTCCTGCATCACTGTAACAAAGCCCATTGGAGTTACTTAAGGTCGAGTCCAAATTCTATGGACTCTGAAAGAACACTCTAATAACTATGCTATGTCTAGCAATTGTTAAAAGAAAATTCTTACAAAATAATTAAATACAACCTTAATATCAAACCCAATTAATCATGGCTTAGAAAAAAAATATCAGTGGCCATTTTAATTTTGACAACAATCAAATGCTCTCAAAATCAACTTATTGATGAAGGTAACTACTAAACTATTAGCATTGACAATAAACCTAAAACAACGGCCATGTATGCTTCAACACTAGACATAGCTTAGCCATCATTCAGGCAAAACCTGTACAATTTTGAAGCTCATACTTAAACCATTTATTATATGAGAATATCTATGATTAGAAGTAATAAATAACATGTTGGTCAAGCCATTAAAACTGCAACTCAAACCAACTTGTTGCCAGATCCACAGTTATTGACCCTCAAATCCAACATTAGACTTTAATTTATCATAAGCCATGAAAAAAAAGACTCGAACTTCAAGAATTAATATTCAAACTAGGCAACATATGATTATGTACAATACACATGTTAAATTCTAGTGGAAATAGGTGAAATGCAAAACATTCTAATCGTACATCACTGCTAAAGCACATTCCCGCTATAACCAAACTTCATGTAATTGCTATGTCAAAACCAAACATTCAAGTTATGTTCAAAAAAGAACCAACAAATAGCAGGCTTAACAAACTACAACAGATAGTTCATATTTCAATACAAATCAAAATAGAATACAAGTGATAAATGTGTACCTAAGCTCGAAAATGAATCTGAGCCTTTGCCAAATAAAGATCAAAGAAATCAACTACTAAATTTGCTCACAACAGGTCAGCAGCAGAAGATAGGATGACAGCTTGAATCCCAGAATGATGAACAGAAACAACAGCAACAATTAGAACAGCAACAAAACCCCAGAATTTTGACTAAAACCAACTTTAAATGGCAGGGATCATGAACTAGAAAACCATGGAGCTATTTCTGTTTTCAGATTCACTAGGAAAACTCAGAAAAAGGAAGAAAAATCAGTATGAAAATCAAACTTTTTTCCAGAATTCCTTAGTGTTTCAAAAATGCCTTTTTAAAATTGCCTAATTCTGATGATTGTCTGTTTTGAGTGAGTGAGGGCCTATTCTTTATATAGAATGCACAAAGATAGCATAAAAAGGAATATTTTATCTAAGGATGGGGACAACTGTGCAAAATCTAGAACCGTCTGATATTTTATCTAGGCTTTGGCCATTCTTACCTTCATATTATCCCCTTTTAGTTATGTTTAATACAAATAGCCACTTTAATGACCTAAGCTCTGATTTGTAATGCCTAGAATACCATATTTTCAAATCCCATCGGCCTTTTAGCTTTCATTAATTACAAACAGTTAACAGAAGAACACATAAGTTCAACAACAGTCTCAAACTAACCATTTCCAACCCCAAACTCCCCCTTAACTAATACCCCTCAACTGTCCCATACAGAAAACTAACAAAACAACTTATTATATAAACCTAGCTAAAATGTTAAAATGGTTCAATTAACTTAAAGAAAATAATTAACAAGTTAATATGTTCACTTGTGTTGCAAGTGAATTCAGTGTTCCGAGGCGTAAAAACCTCTTTTTTACCCTATCCTGATTTACGTGCGTGGTCCGGACCTATATTCGGAAATCCTTCTATGTGAAAATATGAGAAATAGAAATTTTAGAGTTAAAAATTTGATTATGGTTGGCTTTGGTCAACATTTTGAGCAAACAGACCCGAATCTGTGTTCCAACAACCCTGGGAGGTCCGCAGTAAGATATGGGACTTGGGCGTATGCCCGACAATGAATTCCGAAGTCCCAAGCCTTAGAAATCAATTTTTGAAAGAAATTGTTTTACTGAATTATCTAAGAAATGAAGAAAATAATTAATGTTTGAAATCATTATTATCGGGTCCGTATTTTGGTTCCGGAGCCCGATACAAACTTGTTATATTATTTGAAATAGAACTATGAAATTTGGTGAAACCGGAGTTTATTTGACGTGAGTTGGACTTCCAGTTGAAGAGTTATGAACTTTGATAGTTCTTGATAAAAATATTGAGTTTTGAGGTTTAATTCATGATTTTTACATGTTATTTTGATGATGTAATCACACGAGTAGGTCCATATGATGTTTTTGAGTTAGTATGCACACTTGGTTTGGAGTTTCGAGGGCTCGGGTGAGTTTCGGGTAGGTTCCGGGATGTCTTAGGCCTAAAACATAGTTGTTCCAGTGTGGTCAGCACAAAATGGAGTGCTGCTGCGGAGGGGCCTGTGCGGCTGCACTAGATTCTGTGCGGTCCGCGGTGAAGAACATTTCACTGGTCCGATTTCGAAAGCCTATATCTTTCGATCTTCAAGGAATTTTGAGATAATGTAAAAACGAAAGTTGTAGCACTTCGTGTCTAGTTTTCAAAAAGATAAAGATATCACAATTTGGACATCTGTAGAGAAAGTTATGACTAAAATAATAAAGCATGTCACTACAGTCCACAGGAAGGACTGTGCGGCCGCAATCGATTTTGTGCGGTCCGCACAGGGGTCTGAGAGGGGTATATTTAGATGGGATTTTCAGTTATTTTTCATTTTTTAAAACCCCAAAAACATAAGAGGCAATCTTTTAAACGACATTTCTTCTCCAAAACATTGGTAAGTGATTTCTAACTCATTTTCTTCACTCCTTAACATCTTTTAACATGATTTCAACTCAAAATCATTGATTTTCATGGGGGAAATAGGGTGTTTTGGGTAGAACGTAGTTTTTTAAAAAATTGGAGATTTGGACCTCAATTTGAGGTTTGATTTCAAAACGAATTATATATTTGAGTTCGTGGGGGAATGGGTAATCGAGTTTTGGCTTGAACCTCGGGCTTTCACCATGTGGGCTCGGGGGTGATTTTTGATTTTTTGGATAAAACTTTAGAAAACTCATTTTCATGCATTCAAATTGATTCATATAGCATTTATTGATATAATTATGTAACTTGTGGCTATATACGAGTGAGTTGGTGGTGGAATCAAGAGGTAAAGCGATAGTTGAGGCTTGAATTGCGTTCGTGACATCGAGGTAAGTGTTTGGTCTAACCTTAGCTTGAGCGATTAGGAGTTGAGTCTTTTTTGCTATGTGGTAATTGTTGAGTACGACGTATAGTCATGGTGACGAGTATCTATACGTTGGTGTCTAGCATGATTGTGAGTCTTTAAATTGTGAATATCTTGATTTCGTTGTATCTTTCATGCCTAGGTGATGATTTCTATTTGTTGTGAAAAGTTTGTGGAAGGAATCGTGACCTTTGAACATCGAGGAGCATTGGCTCAAATGATATTACGAATTGTGAAAGTATATGAGTTGATTGAACCCTTTGGAGCATCGGCTCAAGTGTTAAATTGAGTTGTGAAGTAAAAGTGAATAAGAGAAAGAATTCATTAAATTGTTCCCTTGCCGGGATATAGTTGTTTACTTAGTTATCTCCCTTGCCAGGATATTGAGATTATTGATGTTCCTCCCTTGTCGGGCCTTATTTATTAAATTGTTGTTCTCTTGCCAGGATTCCCATTATAATCTTGTTTATTCCCTTGCCCTCATTGTTTGTAATTATTGTTTGGGTGAGGAAGAGCGTTAAAGCATGAAGGGTGATACCGTACATTGTTTGTTATTGTGAGGAAAGAGTGTAAAGTATGAAGAGTGATTCCGTGTCGCACGATGTACCATTCCGTGCCGATTTTATTGATTACATGGTGTGAAAAGAGAGTAAAAGCACAAAGGGTGATACCGTGCACATTTTTATTATATGATTGCTTTGGTGAGGACGAGAGTAAAAGAACGAAGGGTGATGCCGTATATTTGTTGATTTCTGATTCTTTGTTGATATCCAAGTTATGTTGATTCTTTCTTTACTTGATGTCTTTCTATTCGGAACTATTATCTCCCCCACAGCATGCTCCCCCTCCCATATTGATTGGTTATTTTTGTATTTCTTTTTCGCTGTATATATTTGAACTACATAGGTTTATTTGGTAGTCTGGTCCTAACCTCGTCACTACTTCACCGAGGTTAGGCTAGACACTTACTAGCACATGGGGTTGGTTGTGCTGATATTACACTCTGCACTATGTGCAGATCCCGAAGCAGCTTTTGGACCGTAGTGTGGAGGCTATCTTCAGTCAATGCGGAGATCCAAGGTAGACCTGCAGGCGTGCGTAGGCCCTGGCGTCTCCTTTATTCGTATTCCTTGTTTAATTTTCCTTTTATTCAGAAATAGTGTATTGTCATTTTCTTCAGAGTTTGTATGTGACACCAAGTTTTAGGTGCTTTAGGTTTTAAGAGTTGTAATAGATGCAAATTTCAGATATGTAGTTGTTATCTTCCGCTTAATTATTTAAAGTTTCATTGTTTTCATGTTATCGTTTTATATTTGTTTTAAAGAAATAATTGAGTAATGAAATAAGTAGTTAAATGATTGGCTTGCCTATATCACATTACTAGGCGCCAACACGACTCCTGAGGGTGGAAAATCCGGGTCATGACAAGTTGGTATCAGAGCTCTAGGTTCCATGGGTCTCACAATTCACAGACAAGATTATTAGAGTCTGAGGGATCGGTACGGAGACATCTGTATTTATCCCCCAGAGGCTACAGAGTTAGGAACAACTTCACATTTATTCTCTTCTGTCGTGCGGTTTGGTTTCTCAATGCTAATTGAACTTGTACCTTGTTCTTTCGCAGATGGCTAGAACACACACTTCCTAATCCACTGACTAGCAGCCCGAGCCCCTAGCAACAGCTCCCATGAGGGGCAGAGGGCGAGGACGAAGCCATGCTAGAGGCTGAGGTAGGGGCAGAGCGCAAACCCGAGCAGTAGCACCAGCGATGGAGCCTTAGGTTGACTTTGATGATGAGATTCCAACCCCAGCAGTTCTAGTGGGCCCATTCCCCCACGAACTCAGGTCCCAGAGGGGTTTATTTCTACCACAGTTCTTCAGGATGCTTTGGTCCGTTTAGTGGGCCTCATGGAGAGTGTCACCCGAGCAAGCTTGCTTCCTGTAGTACCAGCCGTCTCTCAGGCTGGAAGAGGAGCCCAGACTCCTGCTACTCGCACTCCGAAGCAGGTAGCTCCCCATATTCAAACTCCAGTGGTTCAGCCAGTTGGAGCAGTTTAGCCGGGTATGGTAGCTCAGACCAGCGATGGAGCAGCTATGTCTGTCGATGCTTTGTGGAGATTTGATAGGTTCACCAAGCTCTTCACTACTACCTTCAGCGGTGCATCTACTGAGGATCCCTAGGATTGTCTAGACAGTTGTCACGAGGTTCTTAGGAATATGGGGATAGTTGAGACCAATGGGGTCGATTTTGATACTTTTCGCTTGTTTGGATCCGCCAAGACTTGGTGGAGGGATTTCTGTTTGGCTAGACCATCCGGATGGCCAGCTTTGACATGGGAGCAGTTTACTCAGCTATTTCTGGAGAAGTTTCTTTCCATCACTCAGAGAGAGTCCTATCGGAGGCAGTTTGAGAGTCTCCAACAGGATTCCATGATTGTTACCCAGTATGAGACCAGATTCATCGATTTGGCTCGCCATGCTCTCATCATACTTCCCACGGAGAGTGAGAGGGTGAGAGGTTCATTGATGGACGTATTCAGCCAATTCGTCTTCAGATGGATATGGAGGCTGGGGGTGAGATTTCTTTCAAGGAGGCGACCAATGTGGCCTGGAGAGTTGAGATGGTTCTATCACAGGGAGGTGGTCATGGGTCGGACAAGAGGCCACGTCATTCAGGCCGATTCAGTGGTACCTCGTCTGGAGGTAGGGATTCATATGGTAGAGGCCTTCCTTCTAGGCCTTTTCAGTCAGCACTTAAGGTTTCTCACGGTGCTTCAGGTACGTGTGGTCTTCAGATGTAGTATTCTGATCATCAGTCCTACAGTGCACCACTAGCTCCTATCAGTGCACCATCGCTTTAGAGTTTTTGGGGTGGTCATTCAGGTCGTCAGGGCTAGCAGTCTCAGCAGCCGAGGGCTTGCTACACTTGTGGTGATATGGGTCACATTGCTAGGTTTTTCCCTCGAGCACCGAGTAGCTCTCAGCATCAGGGTTCTCGTGCCATGGTAAAGGCACCAG